CGGCTCGGCCCGCAGCACGGGGAAGAAAGCACAGCTGCGCTCTGCTCTTCGGACGGAGAAGCTGGGTGTCTACGCCGCCTGCAAGGTACCTAGCTGGGCCGCAGGGAGCCGCATAGGCCAGCAGAGCACCGGGGGGTGGGCGGGTCCAGTCCATGGCCTGGGGAATGGTGTATGTGGGAGCAACCCGGGCACCCCTCCCCCAGCCAGACCCACCCCCTCCATCACCCACTGACCGGCTACCTTCTCCCCTGTGCACCCCCCAACCCAACAACCCACCCTGTCCTGCCACTTTTGCCTCTGGGCAACCTCCACCCAGCAACACCACCCCCAGCCAGCCATGGTCACCTTCACCCCTGCATCAACCTCGGGACCCCCCCGCCACCTCCCTTCTGCCCACTCTTCCCTTGTGCAAACCCCTCCGTGCCACCTTCACCCCCCTGCAACAACCCCGGGTGCAGACACACACCCGTCTGCCAGCCCCTTGCAACAACCCCCTCCTGCCCACTCCTCCCTTGTGCCACTCCCTCCCTGCCACTGCACCCCCTGCAACGAGCCCCTTTTGCCTCTGTGCAATCTTTTCCCTGCCACTACACCCCCGCCACCTCCACCCCCTGCAACAATCCCGTGCACCCCCGTCTCTGCCACCTTCACCCCGGAAGAGCCCCCATACGACCCCCCTCTTTGCAGCCCTCTCCCCACGTCCCCTGCACTTTGTGAACATCTGGGCCCCTGGGGGGAACTTGGCTGTAGGAAGGTGGGGGCTGGATATCTGAGGGGAGGGGTGCAAGGTGGACGTTTCGTCTAGGGCGCAAAACATCCTTGCACCGGCCCTGCCTCAGTGTGGTTTGGAGATATTCAGCCATTTACTTGTTATCTCTTGTTCTCTGTATACTGATTTCTAACATACATCCCCATAGTATTTAAGGTACCATATTCTAGTTACAGGTATCTCTCTTTCAGGGCTACTGTCTTGAGTGGGCTCAGCTTTTGGGTTATCGTCCCAGAGAAGTGTTGCTAGAGCCAGGCTACAGCTATTATTGAGGGAAACTCTAAATAAAGAAATGAATATGGGTGTTGCCATACAGCTGCTATGGCCTTCCTGAAATTGCCTTTGGTAGCTAATGCCATGGTTGAAACACTACCCTCACCAGCTACAAATGCAAACTCAGGGCTGACCGCTGGAGTACCCATAATGCAGATGAAGTGGTGTGGTGCAGAGGGGAAAAAAGCACTCCCATACCTAGCCAGGTGCTGGTCTAGATCCGAACTATTAACAGAAAAAGTGAGAACGAAAGAGTAATGTAACTGTAATGGGAAAATATTCACGAGGTGACCAAGCGAGCTCTTGGTGCCAATTGGCAGGGGTCCCTGGATCAGACATCTACATAATAGTTCACCAAAGGGTGGCATGTGAAGCCTCTGCCAAGAACTGGTCATCATAATCATTGCAAAATGTATGTACAAATAATATTTAAGGAGTTACATATCCATACTAAAATATGATAGTTAAGATCACCAGGAGGTGGCATACCTCGGGGATATTCCTTTCAGGTAGCAGGTAACAGAAACCAACTCCCTGTCTAGCCATGGGTGCGTTGTATGCCTCAAAATTTATGCATATTTGCATATGGAGCCAAAGGCAGAAGAAAATTTACAGGATGAAGCAAACAGCTGGGGGAATGTCCTGTTTATGAACAAAGACAAAGGGATGTTAGGGTATATGTGGGAGTGCCCGGAAACACACAGGATCCTTCTCCTCGCAGGCAGCTTACAGCGGGCTTGTCTCATGAAAGGAGGTCACAGCCCCACGCCTGGCTGTAAATTGCCACAAGGATTTTGGGTGAACAATATTCTGACAATACTGAAGAGTGTCTTTTTAATTAGGTCTAGGCTCTAGAATGTGTGTTATGATTTTGTTTTATAAATAATCATTTGTCTCCAATACTTCCACTTGCTACTACTTGAATCTCTGTTGTTAAAAAAAACAAACTTACACCTGATTTTACTATAAAGTAGGGCTGTCAAGCGATTAAAAAAATTAATTGTGATTAATCACGCTGTTAAACAATAATAGAATACCATTTATTTAAATATTTTTGGATGTTTTCTACATTTTCAAATATATTGATTTCAATTACAACACCAAATATGAAGTGTACAGTGCTCATTTTATATTTTTATTACAAATATTTGGACTGCAAAAAACAAAAGAAATAGTATTTTTCAATTCACCTTATACAATTACTGTAGTGCAATCGCTATCATGAAAGTTGAACTTACAAATGTTGAACTTACAAATGTATTGTACAAACAATAACTGCGTTCAAAAATAAAACAATGTACAACTTTAGAGCCTACAAGTCCAATCAGTCCTACTTGTTCAGCCAATCACTCAAACAAGTTTGTTTACATATGCAGAAGATAATGCTGCCTGCTTCTTGTTTACACTGTCACCTGAAAGTGAGAACAGATGTTTTCATGGCACTGTTGTAGCCGGCGTCGCCAGATATTTACATATCAGATGCACTAAAGATTCATATGTCCCGTGATTCTTCAACCACCATTCCAGAGGACATGTCCATGCTGATGGGTTCTGCTCGATACCGATCCAAAGCAGTGCAGACCGACGCATGTACATTGTCATCATTTGAGTCAGATGCCACCAGTGGAAGGTTGATTTTCTTTTTTGGTGGTTTGGGTTTTGTGGTTTCTGCATCAGAGTGTTGGTCTTTTAAGACTTCTGAAAGCATGCACCACACCTCATCCCTTGCAGATTTTTTGGAAGGCACTTCAGATTATTAAACCTTGGTTCGAGTGCTGTAGCTATTTTTTGAAATCTCACACTGGTAACTTCTGTGTGTTTTGTCAAGCTGCTGTGAGTATTCTTAAAACAAACGTGCTGTGTCATCATCCGAGACTGCTATAACATTAAATATATGGCAGAATGCGGGTAAAATAGAACAGGAGACATACAATTCTCCCCCAATACGTTCAGTCACAAATTTAATTAACAAATTTTTTTAAAGAGCATCATCAGCATGGAAGCATGTCCTCTGGAATGGTGGTTGAAGAATCACGGGACATATGAATCTTTAGCGCATCTGACATATAAATATCTTGCGACGCCAGCTACAATAGTGCCATGCAAACACCTGTTCTCACTTTCAGATGACATTGTAAATAAGAAGCAGGCAGCAGTATCTCCCATAAATATAAACTAACTTCTTTATTTTAGCGATTGGCTGAACAAGAAGTAGAACTGAGTGGACTTGTAGGCTCTAAAGTTTTACATTGTTTTGTTTTTGAGTGCAGTTATGTAACAAAAATTGTACATTTGTAAGTTACACTTTCAAGATAAA